TGTGTGTGAGGGTATCTGTATAATTTGATATTGGATTCAAGAATAACTATGACCCATTGAAGCAGGTCCAAAAGAGGATAAGAAGATGAAAAATTTTGTGAAAGATATTTCTGGTGAAACTTGCTAATACAGAGTATTTTTAAAAGTTTATAAATATTATAGCATCATCTTTGATCATTCTCACATACAGGTAAGTTTTCATAGGGTATTCTTCCAAAATCAAAAGAACAAGGGTATCACATGCAAATGACTCCTTGTTAAGTCATTTTGTTCTCTTGTCTTTGTCCAGAACTTTTAAATTTACATAAGAATTCCAAGTTAGGCTAGGTGGCCATTAAGCCAATATATTTTCTTAAGATGTCATGAAATTCAAATGTTAAAATTCTTGAGATTCTAGAGGTAGTATAAGAATTGTAAATATTGTTTTATGAGTGATATAAAAGTATACTATGTGTAATGTCAAACAAGTCACACTCCAAATGAGTTGAAATTGTGTGATTCTGAGCTTTTATTTATCCTCAATGGTATACTGTTTTCTATTTTAAAAACATAAATATGACAAAGTACAATACAGAGGCCCTTTATAGAGTCACATTTAGTTGTGTGAAGTCCAAGTTGCTATAATAATAATAATAAAAAAACACAGCATAACTTGAAGATAACAAAACAGAAAGAGAAGGCAAGGAAAAAATATGTATTTTATATAAAATATGTCAGCTTACAGTAGCCTAAATAGGCAAAAAATTGTTGGACTGTAACATTCACATGTTATTTATGAACATACTAACTAACAGTAAGATCTGGGTTACTCAAAAACCTATCTTGCCTGTCTTGGTCTATTAACTTTTCATCAGTATTTCTGTTCTTTACTCTATTCTCTAAACAATACATTAAAAAGAGAAGTGTAATCAGTGAAATTTTCAAGATTCATTTTGACAGAAATAAAATCATATTTTCTAATGGTGAACCACACCATATTGTATCCTAGCTTTACTTAATGCATTGATTTTACCTTTCGTTGCTGTGACCCTTTAAAAAAAGAAATCATTTTGCAAGTACTTTCAAAGTACAAACATTTTATACCTCAATTTCCATCTGTTTTTGTGGTTTAAGAGAATGCAGCAATTTTTAAGTACTATTGAAATGAAATACATACTTGAAATACATAATAACATAAAATGAATAATAAAAGAAATCTAGGTATAGGGAGTTTAAAATGTCAATAGATTCAAGAATGCCTTGGTTTTTACCAGTACATTTTCAGATTTCTTTTTGAAGAGAAATCGCCTTTTCTTTCTTTCTTTTTTTTTCATAAGATTTACGAAATCCTCACAAGATTTTGCAAGCTCCTTTTGGGGGCTTTCCATAATGATGGTTATAGCCTGTTACTTCAGGTGACTGTGAAATCTTTCTCGTAGAAGTCAGTTGAAATTACGCTTGTAGTAATCATACTAAATATACTGAGAATAGACAGCGAACAAATAAATAAGTATAGGAAAATTTTTAGATTCAATTAAACATTTTCATTTTACTCCAATAATTAACATGAGGATAAAAATGATCTTGGAGCACATTATGTACACTGAGGTAGCATGCATTATCCTACCAGGGTTAAAATATTATCATTATGCCTGTTACGCACATGTAAAAGCAGATCCTAGGAATGAAGCATTTATAGTAAACATCCATATGTTTTAGTAAACACAATTGCACGCTTTCCAGAATAAGCAAATGTGTGAATTCCTTAAATGGTACTGAAGCATTAAAATAGTCACTCTTTTTTATATCCCTAAAAGAAAAAAACAAACAAACAACAACAACAAAACCAAACACTAAGTAATATACATTGAGATTATAACAAAACAATAATGATAAAAATAGTAACAGGCACCTGTTTGGCTCTATTATCGTCATAATTTGCAGAAGGCTGAACTTAGAGAGGCGTTTTAGTAATTTTCAAGTGATAACTAATTTAGTATAACTAAAGATCTACTGTTAGAAATTAGTCAATTATAATAGAGCTAACTCTTACATAGTCTTTATTCATATGAAGCACTGGACACTTTCCTAAGTCCTTTCCATATATTGACTCATGTGCTGCTGCTCAGTTGCTTCCATCATGTCCAACTCTTTGCAGCCTCATGGACTGTAGGATTTTCCAGGCAAGAATACTGGAGTAAGTTGCCACGCCCTCTTCCAGGGGATCTTTCCGCTCCAGGGATTGAACCCACATCTCCTACATTGCATGCGGATTCTTTACCATTGAACCACCAGGAAAACCCCGTATTGATTCATATAATTACCTTATTTGGTTGATTCAATTATGGTCTTCATCTCATTGAATAAGGAAACTGAGTGATTAAACGATTTGTCAAATGTCGCATAACTAGTAAATTACAGCAAAAATTTAAATATCAAGCTGTTCTAGCTCCTAACCATGCTTTAGCTTAGATACAGTCTCATCAGCTTAAACGGTTCAAAACTGATCTGATTCTGATAATCCCCGAAGTGTTAAGTTATAAATGTTTGAAAACATTAGATGTCACAGGCTCCTTTTGGCTATATTTCCATCCCTATAGTAGTTCATTGGGATTCCCATCCACAGTAAGAAGGAAGGCATCCCTCCCCTCTTTCAATGAGAGACTTCATTGTCATGAAACCCTCCACATTTTTAGGACTTCATGATCTCCTAATTTTGGGGAAAATATTTGCCCTTCATTAAAAATTTACCTCTGGGGTGAAGTGAAGTGAAGTGAAGTCGCTCAGTCGTGTCTGACTCTTTGCAACCCCATGGACTGTAGCCTACCAGGCTCCTCCATCCATGGGATTTTCCAGGCAAGGGTACCAGAGTGGGTTGCCATTTCCTTCTCCAGTAACTCTGGGGTAGCTGCCTCTAAATAAGGGAATCACTTTTAGACTGTCTGCTAGGTTGTCTCTTCAAGAGAGAAAAAAAGGAACCATATGATATACTGTGTACAAGAACATTACTGTGAAGAATAATGAAAGTATTTTCTATGAAAAGGTCCCAGAAAATAAATTTTAATTAAAGCTAGCAAAGGTCCTTCTAGACCTGTTGCATGCCCTAGGCTAGGAAACAAGGGGATCAGAAATCAGGCAGAATTTCAAGAATGTACTGTCATGGCTGTAGCTACAACTCTTGTCTACTCCACATGAACATCACCATCAGGATACAGGGAGTTTTCTAACTCTTTACCCACTAAGGCTTAGGTTCAGGGAGTGTCATGAAACCAATCTGAGCACTGACACCCATTTTCCTTAAGTGTGACTACATTTCTCACAGCTGCAGGAACCAAATCTTCTCAATCTCTTATATGTTTTCTGATCCAAAACAAAGGGTCAGAATAAAGAAAATGTCTTTTTTACATTAGGGGCCATGTGTCTTAAACCTTACCACCACAGCCCAATCTCTGTCCTTGGACTAGGGTTCATCTACAACTTTCAGTTTATGGTTTTTGGAATGCATTTTGTAACTAGCCTCGTTAAGTGTAGCCTTGGATCTTGAGAGAATCATGTCTCCAAACCTCAAGACTACTCTTTTTCATTGAAATTGTATAATGCCTTGAGTGCCTTTTAGACTCGTTAAAATGGAATATTAGCTTTTTAATAGCTGCACAATTTTCACCATCAAAGAGTGAAGTTTCACCAATACATAAGCCCTTTTATAAGAACAGCACTACGTGGTATAGCGACAACTGTTGACACAGGTATATTCACTTGTGCACAAATTTGAGTTCACTCTGTGGATCCTATTAAAAAACCTTGCCCCTATTTTCACCCTTTCTAGTTAGTAAAATGACACTTAGTTATAGCCACTGGTCTTTCCTATCACCATTCTATTACTATTTATAAACTAACCTTAGTGACTAAGCCACTTGGGTGGGGCAGGGGTGGGAGTGGGGAAAGGGGAGACAGGTAGGGTGTCTGACAATCCAGGTCACAGAATAAGAGTAAATAAGGGAAAAGCCATGGTTCAGGGACTTTCCTGGTGGTCCAGCAGCTAAGACTCTGAGCTCCCAATGCAGAGAGCCTGGGTTCAATTCCTGGTCAGGGAACTAGACCCCACATGCTGCAACTAAGACCTGAAAGAACCAAAAACATAAATATCTTTTAAAAAAGTAATAGAGAAAGGCATGGTCCAATTGCCTTTCCAAGAGTAATTACTGGGGCTGTGAGAGCTGGGAGAAAACTGAACCCAACAATTGGGGTCTAAGCCCAGATATGCTGTTTCCTTCTTTGCCCTCTTCTCTCATCTCTTCCTTCACGTTCCCACCTTAAAATTCATTGCTATGTTATAAGTACTTAATAACATATGAAAGTCTTATGCAAATTCTAACAATAATCCATCTTTTACATGAGGACTTGGTGGTGAAGTCGCTAAGACATGTCCGACTCTTGAGACCGCATGGACTGTAGCCTGCCCAGCTCCTCTGTCCATAGTATTCTCGATGCAAGAATATTGGAATGGGTTGTAGTTTCTATCAGGACTTTGGAGAAAACAATCTCCATTCTCATTTCTTTGTATGCAGGTTAGCAGACCAACCCTTACCTGGTCAGGAAATTCTTTCACCTAGGCCCTGTATTTCTTCACTGATCTGTTACTTACCTTCCTGAGTCGATCCCCAACAAGGCTTCTTCCTCCCACTGTCATTTGTGCCAATAGAACAAGATAAAGTGTGGTTCAGAGGCAAAGGAGAGCTTCATTCTTTCATCAAAAAGGGAGAGGTGCAATCTCTGAAGAATCCTTGACAGGCTGTGGGCAGGGCTGGTTTAATGGTTTCTCATCAGCGTGGCTTCCGTGGTGGCTCAGAGAGTAAAGCATCTCCCTGCAATGTGGGAGATCCTGGTTCGACCCCCAGGTTGGGAAGATCCCCTGGAGAAGGAAATGGCAAGCCACTCCAGTACACTTGCCTGGAAAACTCCATGGAAGGAGGAGCCTGGTAAGCTACAGTCATGGGATTACAGAGTCGCACACAACTGAGCTACTTCACTTCATCAGCGAGGGAGGGGGTGGAGTTCTTGTGGGTCTGGTGCAGGCAGGCTACTTGAGCTCCAGGTTGCTGTGGCGGGTGCAGGCGCAGAGTCTGTGCATATGGTGTGCCACCGCCATCTTGGATTGAGGCTTCCTTAGTGGTGCTTCTACACACAGCTCTCCAACCTGGCTGTGGCTGCAGCTGTTTCACACAAGGAACTCTGGTCTGAAGAGCCAAGTTCAAGGCGTCTGCATGACATACCCTATGTGACAGAGAAACTAAACACAAAGGAAAAATATGTTAGACTTTATTACCTAGATTCTCTATTTTTATTCCCCAGGAATTGTTTATGGGCTTTACTGGTGACAGTCCTTCTCTTCTTGGAGCGAAATTTGGTTTTCAGATTATCGTCACAGATCCTTTAGAGGCCTGGTTTGGGCTTCCTTATGGCTCAGCTGGTAAAGAATCCACCTGCAATGTGGGACACCTGGGTTCAAGCCCTGGGTTGGGAAGATCCCCTGGAGAAGGGAAAGGCTACCCACTCCAAGATTCTGGCCTAGAGAATTGCATGGACTATAGTCCATGGGATTGCAGAGAGTCGGACATGACTGAGCGACTTTCGCTGTCAATTTCACTATAGGGCTGTTTTCAGACAAAATTTCTGATAATCAAAATGTCTTGCTATTGGGTAGTTTTTAACAAAATAGCAGTTATTAGATAATTTCCAGATCTGTCAAAATTAATTTTAGTCTTTTTTGCTTAAATAAGGGAAAAAGAATCATTTGAGTCAATGTTCACCTAGGATATACTAACAGATTCATTTAACCATAACCATTTACATCTCTAGGAGAGAATGGATTTTACTCCACTTAAACATATATTCTTGAGGCAAAGTTTCATCTTTAGCCATAAGTACATTTTCTCATATGAAAAATCTCTGTAATTAGTCTATCCTATATAAAGGAAAGATATTCCACAATGTATTTTTCTACATCAGATGAATTCTCACCTATTCTTTGCATCTAAAAGCCATATTTTTGATAACAAAGTCAAATATGTCAAACTCATAAAAATCACTCTACTAACATTTGACCAGAATGATTTTTAATATCTTGTATTGTTCCAGTAATTGCACTAAAATATTGGCTAATATTTTTATTACCATCTTTTTATTGGTATTTTTGAGATCACTTTAGTGCTTGACCTGTAATAAAATTTATATATTCTATCTCACTGAATCCTCACAGTAGCCTAATAGAGTGAGATATAAAGTTAGGTTGTCAGTGATCAAGCAACTAGTAATTAGTGCAGCCAGAATTTAATTGCAGATTTGTCTGACTCAAAATGAAGCACAGGAAAAATTCTAGAAATTTTGAATGTCTTTTCATTTTTCCTTGTATATCTGAAAACTTGAGAAAAAAAATATATAAAAAAGAGAAATTAGAAGAAACAAAACTTTGTGGGTGTACCAAAAGGCATATTTGATCAACTGTCAACTAAAGTATTTGATCATAGCAAAGACTCCGTAATTCACATACCCTACCTGATCAGTTCTTCCAGTGGAAAAATGAATTCAGTTGTAACAATGTGTCATTGCCTAAGCAAGTTAAGGGATGAAGGAGGGACATTATGTAGACATCTGTTTGAGCAACAGGGGGTATGGATGATTCATATTCAAATCACAGCACTTTGGGATTCAATGCTTTGGGGATATTACTACCTAAAAATACTATTCGATCAAGTACCCATGACTAACCACTACAAGCTTAGTGAGACATCCCATAAGAAACAAAACTGGTAATGACTAAACTAACTGACAATTAATTTATAATTAAAAAGACACAGATAACAACAATTAAAATAATGGCCAAATCTAGACATTTCTGGTTCACTGATAACAAATTGCACTCCCTTAGAACTGAGACAATATTGTCAAGCATTGTCAGCACTTCTGAAAATAAAACTGAAAGAGCTTCTACAGGAAACTCTAGCAACTTTATATTTTTGGTATATAAATACCAAATGTTAATATCATAGGTTACTAGTTAAAAAAAAAAAAAAACCTCTTAGTTGCAATTAAAGATAAGATTGGGCTTCCCTGATGTCTCAGTGGCTAAAGAATCTGCCTGCTATACAGGAGACACTAGAGACATGAGTTCAATCCTTGAGTTGGGAAGATCCCCTAAAGGAGGAAATGGCAACCCACTGTAGTATTCTTGCCTGAAAAATCCCATGGACAGAGAAGCCTGATAGGCTACAGTCCATGGAGTTGCAAAGAGTCAGATGAAAGGCAAGATAGGTCTATGAAATAAAGCCTGATTTTTCACTGATGATTAAAAGGACCATCTGGACATTTGAGGCTCTTTGAGAGCTCCCTTAAAGACCACCAGTGGGCCTGGAATATTCTCTGAGAATCACTGTGATAGAAAATATTTATGTTCATCTCAAAGAGAATAAAGATAAATAGCCCATATCCTTTAGTATCTCAAGTTATGTATATTCTTTTTTTAAATAATAGAAATTGTTTTTTTACGTATCAGAAGTGTTTGTGAGCTTTATGGAGAACATAAGAAAGCAACATATTTTTCTCACTTTCAAAAACATTTCCTTGTACCCCAACTTCTCTCTCTACACGCCTTATCCAATAAGATATTACCGTTCACATAAAATCTCTTTTCTTTTTCATGTCACTGTCACCTCTACCTATGAATGTATCCTGAATTAACTCTCTACTAAGTTAGTCCAGGGCTTCCCAGGTGGCTCAGAGGTAAAGAATTTGCCTGCCAATGCAGGAGATGCGTGTTCAATTCCTGGGTCAGGAAGATCCCCTGAGAAAGAAATGACAACACACTCTAGTATTCTTGCCGTGGACACAGGAGCCTGGTGGGCTACAGTCCCTGGCGTTGCAAAAGAGCTGGACATGGCATAGCAACTATGCAATAAGTTAGTCCAAGCCCTGATCCTCCCTGGGTCCCTGCAAAGGCTGCCTCTTAGACCTTCTCTTTCTGTCTGTGCTTCACGCCTCTTCCTACTCAACAGAGTGATCTTTTCAAAATGAAAATCAGAGCATAATACTTTGATGATTTCAACCATCCAGGCTTCCCATGTGGTGGAAACCCAACGTTCTTCCCCATCAGCCTTGACTCCTACCTCTCCTCTCCTCTGTCCCTGAGGGTAGGGAATCATGTGGACTTCTTCCTAGATTAAACCAGAAATAGTCCCACCTCACAGTCTTCACACTTGGAATTTTCTCTGCCTGGAATGCTTTATCCAGAAATTGGTACATGACTTGCATGTTTGCTGCACTTGTGCCTCATTCTTACATCATTTCTTCAGAGATCTCTTCCCTAAAAAACCCATCCAAAATGCCCATTCTCTTACTCCTTTATACAGTTTCTCACTCCTTCACCCTGCTTCATGTTTTTCTACTTAGTCCTTATCACAGCGCAACATTTTATTACATATACATTTGCTTAAATGTTTATCAGTGTCTCCCCTACTACAAAGTAAATTCTACTGAGGCAGGGACTCTGTTTTATTTACCTCTGTCACCAGAGTTCCTAAAACAGGTCCTCATATTTAAAGCATGTCAGTAAATATTTTTTAGGTGAACTGATGTCTACATATAAATCTAACTTTGGTCGTGGTGGAGCTAAATTTAGATACATAATGTCACCTTCAGGAAGCAAATTACTGGAGAGTTTCTCTAAAATTCTCACTCATTTGCAGTATACTTGATGGTGCTATAGGCTGCCTGAGACCTAGTGACTATATTCCAATGTAGGTTGAAAGAAGCATGATGGCAGTGTTGATTTCAGTTTCTCCTATTCACAACTAGCTGGACATTCAGCATTCCAGATTTAATCTTAAAAAAAAAAAAAAAAGCTATCTCCCTTGAATCTCCCCAGGCCCACTCTCAGTGATCTGAACCTCTATCCAAAGTGTCCCTATTCATAATTCTGAATGACAGCTATTGTAATCACACTCCTCCCCCTGATTTTGCTGCTCCTGGGAAAGAAAAAAAAAATGTTTAAAAGTCTAAAACTTTAATAAGCCTCTCCCTTTATTTCATGTGACACTTTGACTTGCCAGCTAAAAGGATTGCAAATTGAAACTGAATTATATTTTTAATGAGCTAAATATATTCCAAGAGGGGAAATATATTTAAAAGATATAGCCTAGCAATATCATGCAACTCTAATCCAATAAAAAAATTCAACTTTTCAGAGTAGAAGATGTTAGATTTTTTTAAGATTTATAACTATAGTTGTAATAATTTTACTAAAAATTGTTGAGTAATTAACATCAGAATATGATATCATAATAATTAGAAATATGATGTAGGAATAAAGATACTTTATATTGTGTGTTAGTGATAATAACCAGAAAATAATAATAACTATAATACCATGTGACAGGCAATGTTACAAGCACTTTAGAACTCTCTTCAAATGTGATGCAAGCATCAACATCTCTCCTATGGATTACTGCAGTAGCTTCCAACCTTGCCTATCTACTACTTGCCCTTGACCCCTACAACCTAATTTCAATATATGTTACCCAATGATGCTTTAAAGAATAAGTAGTATATCACTTTCTGCTCAAAACCCGGTGATGGCTTTCTACCTCTCGTAGTGTAACACCCAAAGCCCTTAACCCTGTCCCTAGATCCTATATAAGGTGGCCCCCAGGAATTCCCTTTTATCATCCCCTCTTTGCTCACACTGCTTTCTGTGCTACTCCTTAAACTTTCCAGGCATCTTTCTTCCCCAGGGCCTTGAACTTGATATTCCCTCTGCCTGAACACTTTCCCCAAAGGTCTGCAAGACTGCTTACTTTTCCTCCTTCAAGTCTTTGCTCAAATGTTGTCTTCTGGGTTACACGTCCTCTGACCACACAATTTAAAGTTGTAGTCCCCACTGCCTATACTTATCACCATCCTACATATTATATACATTTACTTACTATTTTATTTTGATTCCAGCCTCTACTTACTAAAATACAAGCTCCATAGAAGGCTTTTTTGTCTTGTGTTATTCATTTCTTATAACCCTAGTCCTTAGAACAGTGTCAGGTATATAAAAGCTAAAAAGTATTTGTTAAAAAATAAGTAAAATTAACCAACAATAAGATATTTTACCTATAAAATAAAGATATAAGATACTTATACCTTTTATCTATAAGAACGGAAAATATCTAAAACATTGACATGACAACAGCAAATGCTGGCAAGGATGTGAAGCAACAGCAACTGCCATTCATCGCTGGTGGGAATGCAAAAAGATACTCAGAAGAAAATTTGGCACTTTCTTCCAAAGCTAAACATAATCTTACCTTATGATCCAGCAATTGTGATTTTACTCAAATAAGTTGAAAACACGTTCACACAAAAACCTGCACACAAATGTTTAGAGCAGCTCTAGTCATCATAACTGAAAACTGGAAGCAACCAAAATGTCCTTCAATAGATGAATGAATAAACAAACTGCCATACATCCATGCAAGGGAATATCATTCAGTGATAAAAAGTGAGTTATCAAGTCATGAAAAGTCATGGAGAAATAATAAATTTATGTTGCTAAGTGAAAGGAGAAAGTGTGCAATGGCCACATAATGTATGATTCCAACTATGTGACCTTCTGGTAAAAGCAAAATTATGGGAACAGTGAAAGGATCAGGGCTTTTAGGGGAGGGAAGAAAGGATAAATAGGGGAAGCACAGGGAATGTTCTAGAGCAGTAAAACTATTCTGTATGATACTGTATTACTGAAAACATGACATTATACATTTGTCCCAAAACCCAGAGAACTGTATGACAGAGAGTGAGTCCTGATGTATATAAACTATGGACTTAATTAATAATAGTGTATCAGCATTGATTTATCAATCATAAGGTATATACCAAACTAATGTAAGATGTTAATAATCAAGGAATTTGGCGACAGAACGTACGTTTGAATTCTCTGTGTACTTCCTGTGAAATTTTTCTGTAAACCGGAAAAGGTCCCCCACAATGGAGTTTATTACGTTAAATAAATAGATACATGTAGTTAGTAACTTCGTAATAGATAAATATATGTACTTTAAAAATCTTTACAAAATCACTTGGGTGTAATTTCTATTATCTCCATCTTGAAGGTGGGGAAATTGACTGACACAATTTATGTGATTCCTGTCGAAGCTCAAACTTTCATACATCTAGTTCTTGGGAGTTGCAATGGTGGAACCCAGAATGTATCACCTTCAGATGCAGCACTCTCAATTTACCCTCATCAAAGGCATTAAATATACAAGGGAAATACAGTGATGAAAGAACAACTATAACAAGACAAGCAGGCCTAAGTAAATAAATTTCCTACCTTGTGCATTGTGGTCCAAGAGTGAAGGCATCTGGGACTTCCCCCGTAATTCAGTGGCCAAGACTTTGCACTCCCAAAGCAGGGGGCCTGGGTTCAATTTCTGGTTAAGGAACTAGAACCTGCATGCGACAACTAAGACACAGCACAGGCAAATGAATAATTTTTTGTTTAATTTTTATAAAAAATAATGAGTGCACCTGTTTGTTGTAGTTGTGCTGAGAAGTAAATTATCATTCAAGAAAGAAGCGTGATAGTTTGAACGGTTTGCTTGTGTTGTTGTTTATCTTTTCTGTTGCCTCTGAAAACAATCTGAACACAGTTGATGTACATAGTCTTTTGGTGATACATATGACTGTTTTCTATTCTTACTATAATCATCTCAATATGGATAGATTCAGAGACACATCTTTCCTATGTTGCTTTTCAATTAACTTGTGAGGTTAATATGTGATGTATGCTAAAAGGGGGAGACTGGGTTGTCTAATTTTTGTAAAGGATTTTGAAATTATACCTAAGGTGGCATTTACGTAAGATTAGAGATATAGCAGTACAAGTCATTGAGTACAAAACAGGGAATTCCAGCCCACCGATGAGACCCCAGGCACATCATCTAGTGCTTTATGGTTTTCTTCTTAAATGTAGTTTCTGGACATTCTGTTATAGTGACAACTCTTCTTAAAGTCTGGATCTTCAAAGTGACCTTTTTCCTGTGCTGCCCAAAATAGAATTTTCACTCCATCTCTGCCTGTGGCAGTAATAAAACAACCCTAATATTCAGCCTCTTTCCAGATTGTACAGTCTATAATAGGATATCATCATAACTTATTTCCAGAGTATAATATTCATCCAATTAACCTTGAATATTTTTTAAGAAAGCTCACAATAGAAAAGATAATTGCATGGTTGTCAAAAATTATGACTAACCAGGTACAATAGAGCCCCGTAAAATAATTCCTATCAAAAGACTAACATTTATCATGTTTTCCTAATGAAACATATTGTAAGAGATTTAAAAATGGATAACTGGAAAAACAGTAAATAGTTATTGCATGCAAAATATACAACCAAAATGAACTTTTAAAAGGTAGAAAAATATATTAAACACAATAAATGCATTTTCTATGTTTAACATAAAACTAAGTCCTACTGTAGGGCTCCCCTGGTGGCTCAGCTGATAAAGAGTCTGCCTGCAGTGTGGGAGACCTGGGAGACCTGGGTTTGATTCCTGAGTTGAGAAGATCCCCTGGAGAAGAGAAAGGCTACCCACTCCAGTATTCTGGCCTGGAGAATTCCATGGACTGTATAGTTCATGGGGTCGCAAAGAGTTAGACATGACTGAGCAACTTTTACTTTCATGTCCCATTGTATAGGAATTATTCTTCCCAAATACTTGTTAGAGGAAGAACAGATGAACTAAAGTGCATGCCCCGCTTCTTTGTGGTGTCATGAAGCTGTTCTATGGACAGATTTCTACTATATCCCCTTACTAAAACTCAAAGCCGTTAAGATATGGTTCTTGGTTAAAAAAAAGAAAAAGCAGGGAAAGCCCTTCACACAAGTAGAAATGGAGAAAATTGCTAAGGAAAGGGGACAAAAGCCCCCTTGGCAGATAAGCAATAGCTCTGCTTACACAGTAATTTATGGTAATATCAGGAAGCTTTTGATAAAATTTCACACATACTGCAGGGTAGGACATTGGAGAAGATAAAGGACTCCGAAGAGATATGGAAAAATTAAACCATTTATAAGAGGGGGAGTATTTTGTTAAAAAAAAATGTGGCAATTCATTTTGATAGTCGTAACAGTTTATGTAATTTCTGTGTGCATTGGACACTTGCTGTCTGAAAAAGTAGCAACCTAGCATTTCCCCCATTGCTACAGAAAGTCAATTTTGAGAACTAAAAATAGGGGAAGGTTTAATCTATTATAACACATTCAAGTGTTTGTGAGCTAAGTTTATACCATTTGACTAATTTAAAGATTTTAAACTTTTATCTCTATTTTATTTGATAACAAATCAATTTTCCAATAAAATAATTTGCCTTTGGGGTATTATAATGAAAAAGCAATTTAAAATATATTTCTATAAATACTGAAAAATACTTTCATACTAGATATGCAGTAAATAAATGAAGAAATATTCACAAAAGTTCCTACTGCCTTTCTTGTTATCTGAAAAATAATGAGTCTTTATTTACATATTTCTTCATCAAGCCCTGAAGCTGTTATTAAGGTCAAAGCTTGAATATATCTGTTATTCTACAGAATTTTATATTTCAAAATTTAAAGTACTATTTGATGCTCTAATTTAACCTTCTGTATTAAAAAAATATAAACAGCTTCATGAAGAGGTTTTAAATGACTTTTTAAAAATATTCTTCAATGGCCATTTTTAACATAGTGACTCTGCTAGCCTCTGAACTTCAGTGATATTTGGGCTAACATTGTCATTCTTACTTATTGATTGCTCAGCTCAGCTTTTGACTGAAACCACTATGAAGATCTTTACTTGAGGAAACAAAAAAAATCCTATCGTTCAAAAAGACCGTATTATGAGAATTCAGTTACTTATTTTTAAAGAATATTAACAGGAAAATTTGGAAGAAATGCCAGTCTGTCTCTCTTCTCCTTAACAAATTTCTCCTGAGAAGGAGCTTTAATGAGTAGTTCTGGAAACTTCTTAAACAATATATGTCACTGACCAAGATGGCTGACCCTTTCAAGCTGGCTGATGCTATTCAGTAAAGATACCATCAGAATCTGAAGTAGCTGGTTTGAGTTGCTATAGTATTTTGAGGAAATATTTTGTGAGAGTGGGAAGCATGTTTTAATGCCATTCACATGTTTCCCGGAGAATGAAAGCTGATCTGCAGGACCATTGAAAACATTGTAGCTAATATCATTGCAATTTCAAGGGCTGGGAGGGAGGTTGGGAGAACCAATAGTTGGGTTGGGGGCGTTGTTCAAGAATATTGAAGTGAACACTGTTGATTCATTGGAAAATCACAAAATGCTTGAACTCACTCTAGAAGGCTCATGTTTTGAGTGTTTAAAGCAGTTGTGCAGCTCTCTTGAAAATTTACACTGTTATTTTATTTATAGCAGATGTCTCTTAAAGCAAACATTTTTATTTTATACTATACAAATCTTACGGAAAATTGCAAACATAATGTAGAGTTTTGGTCATGCTGTAGAAATCTCTAGGTTTTCTATAATGTATTATGAGCAAGGGAAAAAAAACTGATATTGATCTAAGGCTAAAGGATAAAGGGTAATCAAAACAAGGCTTCTGCAGATGCTTTTATGAAACTTGCTTTAAAAGAAAGAGGCAAAAGTTGAAACTGTGGATTAAACCAGCTAAATTAAATCAACTTGTATTCAAAATATATTCTGACCATCAGAATGAAATAACCAACAGCCCGCCTGAGGCTTAATCAAAACACTCGTTGCCTGGACAATTATACTGTCTGGGTTTATATATATATATATATATATATATATATATATATAAAACTTGGATTTCCTTAGATGTAGCTAGTATTTGTTTCTTATGTATATCCAGTGAAAAAGAAAGCCTAAGAAAGCACTTAATTTTTCTAGTTTGTTCTGAATAATCATTCTCTTATAACTAAGTTTTGGTTATAGTAACTTAAATATATGTCTTGTAGCTGTTCAGCAGGTGCTGAACTGCCTGATAGAAAACTTGTAGCATCTGAAATTCAGCTCAAAATATAAAAATATAATATGCAATTAAAGAAGAAAGTAAATTCTGTCTGTAATGTTACACCAGGAAATATAAATAGTAAGGAAACAAGAGATACTGCAGTTTTACAAAAGTGAATATCAGCAGCTTTAATTTTCCAAGGAATCCATCCAGCTACAAATATTTACCTTTCTATTTGTTTCTATAATTAGCAGAATTTAAAAATCGAGTTTCGCTCGTGGCTCAGCTAGTAAAGAATCCGCCTGCAATGTGGAGACTTGGGTTTGATCCCTGGGTTGGGAAGATCCCCTGGAGAAGGGAAAGGCAACCCACTCCATTCTGGCCTGAAGAGTTCCATGGACTAAGTCCATGGGGTCAAAAAGAGTCAGACAAGACTGAGCAAATTTCACTCACTTAAAAATAGAGAATTATATAAATTTTGAAAATTGAAATCTAGAGAAGCAAAACCTATGTTTCTGAGACTTTGCAGTTCATTATGCCTGTCTTGGAGAAGGAAATGGCAACCCACTCCAGTATTCTTGCCTAGAGAATCCTGTGAACAAAGGAGCCTGGTGGGCTGCCGTCTATGGGGTCACACAGAGTCAGACACGAATGAAGCAGCAACAATAGCATGCCTGTTTTGTTCAGTTCAGTTCAGTCGCTCACTCATGTGCAACTCTCTGCAACCCCATGAACCACAGCACGCCAGGCCTCCCTGTCCATCACCAACTCCCAGATTCCAACCAAACCCATGTCCATTGAGTCGGTGTTACCATCCAACCATCTCATCCTCTGTCATCTACTTCTCCTCCTGCCCTCAATCTTTCCCAGAATCAGGGTCTTTTCCAATGAGTCAGCTTTTCACATCAGGTGATTAAAGTATTGGGAGTTTCAGCTTCAACATCAGTCCTTCCAATGAACACCCAGGAATCTTCTTTAGGATGGACTGGTTGGATCTCTTTGCAGTCCAAGGGACTCTCAAGAGTCTTCTCCAATACCTCAATTCAAAAGCATCAATTCTTCGGCGCTCAGCTTTCTTTATAGTCCAGCTTTCTTTATAGTCCAACTTTCACATCCATACATGACCACTGGAAAAACTTGACTAGATGGACCTTTGCTGACAAAGTAATGTCTCTGCTTTTTAATATGCTGTCTAGGTTGGTCATAACTTTCCTTCCAAGGAGTAAGCATCTTTTAAGTTCATGGCTGCTATCACAATCTGCAGTGATTCTGGAGCCCATAAAAATAAAGTCAGCCCCTGTTTCCACTGTTTCCCCATCTACTTGCTATGAAGTGATGGGACCGGATGTCGTGATCTTAGTTTTCTG